GCCTTACGGCGGACAATCTGCAGAAAAGAAATTGGCCTTCCAACGGAGTCTGCTCCTTGTGTCTTCAAGCGTCGGAAGACTGCACCCAGTTGTTTCTCCATTGCCGTTTTACACAACAAGTTTGGGCGCGCTTCAGATCTTGGACCGGCGCCGATTTCCTTATCCCCGATAACACCTTTGCCTCCACTCGGGAGTGGTGGTTGCAGACTAGGGCTGTCATTCCCAAGCACATCCGAAGGAATTTTGACACGGTGGTGATCTTGATGCATTGGAAGATATGGAAAGGGAGAAACTCCAGGATCTTTGACCAGGTGGCAGCTTCGCCGTCCGGCGTTCTGGAGCGGGTAGTAGAAGATGTGGCCATGTGGAGGGCTGCCGGATGCATCGTTGATCTGCCAACTTAGTTGTTGTGGGGGTGTTCATGTTTTGCAAGACCGGCCCTCACCTGGGTGGTCCGAGATCGTTGCTGTAGCGGGGGCGCCTCTGTTTTTTGGAGGCCGACCCCTGGCAGGGCTGTTTGTAAACTCTGGGTTCAGTCTAAGTTTCCTAGACTATCCTTGCTGTACTCTCTTTTCTATCTAATAAAGTTCGGCCAATGACCTTTCGAGAGCAACGGCGGTAACACTGGCCCATTCGTGGTTGTTAACTGACGGGAGAGAAGAGAGGGAGAGAGACAGATTCATTCTCAATGACATATACGTGAGTATTGCCGCCTTGGACTGATGATATTGTCGAAAATAATGCCATACAAGGCCAAAACCGAGTTTGACCAGGAACACTGACATTATACAAAGCTACCTAGCATTGGCAGTTTAGAATAGAATCACACCGAATATTAGTTCAGGGATGAAAGATATACCTGGTAAACTGAAATACGGAAATCACATTTGTCTCAATAGAAAATGCATCGTAGATCAATAATCATCCACAATGTCCAAACTATTGTAGTACTGTATAGTATATTAAAGTTGCACATGGCGTGTACATGATTTGGATTAAAAAATGCAAGTTGTAACACAAGTGGTATGTATTTAATATTTTAATATCATAAGGTTCTTTATCCCTTGATTATTTGTCACAAAATAAACTCTCCTGAACAGTTAAGGGTCTCTTTAATTCACATGATTCTTAGAACCCATGAATAGGAAAAAAAATTAAGATTAGAGTGGCATGCCCTGTAGAATCCTACAGAACTAAAAGGACTACCCAAGGAGTACAAGAATTAGGATGAAGGAGTGTTCGATGGGATGATGGCATAGGAAAAGCAATGAAATTTAGGAAGAGGTTCGAGTGGTTGGATATTTTCCTCTCAAATATAGAATACAAATAAATCCTACGGAAATTCTGAAGGTGAATCAAACTAATAACACAAAAAGGTTTCTAAGGATTCAAATACCCCAAAAGTTCTGTAAAATTCCTTTGAATCAAAGGAACCACGAAACTGTTTGATGCATGATTTTGCCATTATTACATCCAAGTCTACGGTCTCAAGGACTTGCCATAGCTACTTAACTAGTACGTACTCCCTCTGTAAACTAATATAAAAACGTTTAAATCATTAAAGTAATGATCTAAATATTTTTATATTAGTTTACGGAGGGAGTATTGGAAGGAGACAGCGTATAACATACACAGGAATGGACACGTTGCATATACTGGTGTGCTATGTTGTGCTTAATTACACTTACGATTTCCTCGGGGAAACCGATGAATATCAGTTGTAGTCTCCGCGTCGCCCTGGCGCGGTCGGCAGCTTCTGCTCCTGGACGATGAGTCGCGCCGGGAGCGGCCGGCCGGTGCCAGAGCCTCCGCAGCTGCGGCACCGCTTGCGGCCGGACCCAGAGCACGTCCCGCAGCCGACGTCGCCGTCGGACCAGCGGCTGCAGAGGCACTCCTCCCGGCCGGTGCCGCTGCACGTGGAGCAACGGGGCCGCGCGTCCCATCTGGACGACGCCGGCAGCCCGTCGCCCGTCCCCCGGCTCGCCAACGCCACGCCCGCCAGCATCCCGAGCCCCGCCGACGCGATCACGACGGGCGAAACCATCTCTGCCGAAAAACCAATCCAAGAACCTCCCGGAAACGGCGAAGCAGCTACAGGGGAGGGGAGGAGGAGCTGTACTTCTTGGCTTTGCTGGTGCTGGTAGGAGTTGGAAGAAGAAGAGGTTTCGATGGGTGTGTGTGGACGGGGGGTTGTGGCAATCTGTTGTTTCTGTGGACGGGGTGCGTCGATTTGTAGGATTTTTTCGGGGGATAGTTTCGCTTGGCAGTTTGGAGGGTAGTGGAGGCGGGGAAGGGAAGGCGTGCCCGCCTCGTTGCCTTTGCTTGCCTGCTTGGTCTGCATCCGTCGGCTACTCTTCTATGCTTCGGCGTTTCGATTGCGGTTTCGTGTGCGCTGCAAGCTGCTTGGCGGCTTGCCGGTTCCCTTTTCCTCTTCCATGCTACGAGACGAATTCGAAGCTACGCACAGGATTTGCCCTCTGCAACTGTTTTACTATATCTGGATCATGTAAGTAGGAGAAGATTTGTAGACGATTCTCTAGATTACTTGCAAGATTTCATTTACTTAGGACATCTCTAACGGACTCGCCCCTTTCGCCCTATTTGGCCGGTCCGAAAATATCCCCTAATGAGCTGCTCTGGATAGTCCAGACTGTCCGGTGTCCCCAGTCCCGCCTCAAATTAAAGGAAGAAATAGGGTTTGAACTGTTCGCCATGTTGGATCGAACAGCTCGGTCCCATGTAGAAAACTTATAGGAACCCCTTTCCCGCCCGCACTACACCCCTCTTCATCTGCTCTTCGTTTCCACTAGAGGACCCTGACTCCTCCGCCGCGCCCACCTCGAACACCGCCCAGGTCTTGCCAGACTTCCCTCTCCACCTTGCCGCCAAGACACAATCGTCGAATCCGTACGCCGCCCTGAAACCCTCCCACTATAGATAATGTCACCGCACACACCAAGTGTTCGGTGAAATGCCATACAACGATGGGATGCTACTACAACATCAATGGGCATGGCTACAACATGGTGGCACCACTTTCTTGATGATGTCAATTCTCTGTGGGCGACGTTGTCAAGACCATCTTGTATCCAATAGGTAACAAAAATATCACTTTTCTCGAAAGCAAGAAACTCTTAGGAAGGATGTGAAGAGATCATTTGAAGTACTCGAGACATACTTTGCAATTGTTCACGAACTTGCTAAATAGGGGGGCCTCAAGACATTGCGGTAGGTGATGACATGATGTTTGATAATGTATAACATGATTGTGAAGGATGATGATGAGGGTGTTCGCAATCTTAATTTTGAATACAGGGGTGATCCTATCAACATCCCACAACAAGGCGTGACTCAGTTCATATTCATAATCCTCTGCCTATCTCGGACTAACATTGGACCATATGAGATCACATGTATGTAAATGTGATGAACCGCTCTCTTGTGGATCAACATGACATAGGAATGAATCACAACCATGTGTGTTGCTGCCTGAACGAGTAACTTCATCTACGTGTCCTAGTGAAATCAATATTGCGGTAAGTAACAACAAAACCAACCTTACACCTTACCTAACAACCTAGCATTGGAGCGTGGTTGTATGCTGCTGACTGCCATTGGAGATGACGATGACCCACCCATGTCGAAAACGAGGTGGAGGCAGAGACGAAGGGGGCGAGTAGCTCACGGAGGGTAAGGAGCATGACGTGGTGTTGGAGATCTAAGTAGCTGCCACTGCTGCTACCGGTACCATAGATCTAAGCCACCACCGGTGCCGGTGCCATGAACTGAGGATCAATTTGTCCTCTCGCTAGAGGTGGGCGAGACTATAGATTTCGCTTCAGTCTAGCTCCACAAAATGGCCAATTCGAGCATTCCTAGCGAGCCATGCTCTGGGGTGATTTAAGTTGCATTCACATGCGGCCCAATGACTAGTGTGAGCAATTAAGCACTTTTTTGCATTCGCTAGGCCTGTATTTGGGGTGGGGTATGTGCGCAGGCAACCAAACACGCCCTATCCCCTATGCCACTCCATCACATGGCTATGAAATAGTTTCATGGGACCAACTAGCAACTAGGCAGAAACCCATACACATGTTTTACAACAAATAAACAAAATAAGGGTCTCTCACTCCTTTTATTAATATACATAATTTTTTAGATAGAGACATTAGTATCTTAGTTATGCATGTTATCTTACTTCTCTCCGTAACACGCCCTTGATTGGAAATGTGCGCGCATGTTTTAGTTATTAGTACAGTTGGTTTTACCGTCGGGCAAGAAAGGAACGCCGTGAAGAATCTGCCTATGGGCAAAGCACCCGGACCGGACGGGTTCACGGCGGAATTTCTGTGTGCATGCTGGACCACGATCAAGACCGACATCTGTAAAGCCTTTGACAAGCTCTACGCCATGAATGGCATGGGATTTCAGAAGCTCAATGAAGCATTGCTAGTTCTACTTCCCAAGAAACCGGACGCGGCCGCGCTCTCTGACTATAGGCCGATCAGCCTGATTCACATCTTCGCCAAACATTTCGCCAAGGTCCTCTTCCTTTGTCTGGCGCCTAGGATGAGCCAGATCGTCTCCGCCAACCAGAGTGCATTCATCGCCGGCCGGATTGTGCACGACAACTTCCTCCTTGTCTAGCAAACGGTGCGCCTGCTTCACAACCTCAAGGCCCCGCGCATTCTTCTCAAGCTCAACATTGCGAAGGCATTCGACACCGTATCCTGGCCCTTCCTTCTTCAAGCTCTTCGCCACCTTGGCTTCGGGCATAGCTGGTGCGAATGGGTGTGCATCTTAGTCTCCACTGCATCCACGCGGGTTCTCATCAACGGCAACCCAGGCCCCCCGGTGGATCATGCCTGCGGGCTCCGCCAAGGCGACCCGATATCCCCGCTCCTCTTCGCGATCGTGATCGACACCCTGAACTCTCTCCTCCAGCATGCGGTCAGCGCGGGAATGCTACAATGTCTAACCAACCGCCATGCCGCTTCCAGCATCTCTCTGTACGCTGACGATGTGGTCATCTTCTGCCACCCGACCACCACGGAGCTCGCCACCATCCGCGAGCTGCTCCGGATCTTCGGCGAGGTCTCGGGTCTCCGCACGAACTTCCTAAAGTGCTCGGCCACACCCATATGGTGCAATGAGGAGGTGGCTTCGACCATCGACTCCACGCTCGCGTGCACAGTCACCAGCTTCCCCTTGGTATACCAGGGCCTGCCATTGTCCGTGTGCAAGACACCCTCCTCGTCCTTGCTGCCGCTCGTGGACAAGATCACGCGGAAGCTGGCCACCTAGAAAGCCGCGCTCCTGACCCGTGGCGAGCGCCTTGCGCTCGTGCGCCACGTGCTCTCCACCATGCCCGTTGATACGTCTCCAACGTATCTATAATTTTTGATTGCTCCATGCTATATTATCTACTGTTTTGAACTATATTGGGCTTTATTTTCCACTTTTATATTATTTTTGGGACTAACCTATTAACCGGAGGCCCAGCCCAGAATTGCTGTTTTTTTGCCTATTTCAGTGTTTCGAAGAAACGGAATATCAAATGGAGTCTAAACGGAATAAAACCTTCGGTAACGTGATTTTCTCACCGAATGTGATCCAGGAGACTTGGACCCTACGCCAAGGCATCAGAGAGGCGGTCACGAGGGTGGGGGCGCCCCCCCAGGGCGCGCCCCCTGCCTCGTGGGCACCTCGGAGCTCCACCGACGTACTCCTTCCTCCTATATATACCTACGTAACCCCAAACGAACAGATACGGAGCCAAAAATCTAATTCCACCGCCGCAACTTTCTGTATCCATGAGATCCCATCTTGGGGCCTGTTCCGGAGCTCTGCCGGAGAGGGCCGTCATCACGGAGGGCTTCTACATCATCATAGCCTCTCCGATGAAGTGTGAGTAGTTTACCTCAGACCTGCGGGTCCATAGTTAGTAGCTAGATGGCTTCTTCTCTCTTTTTGGATCTCAATACAAAGTTCTCCCCCTCTCTTGTGGAGATCTATTCGATGTAATCTTCTTTTTGCGGTGTGTTTGTTGAGACCGATGAATTGTGGGTTTATGATCAAGTCTATCTATGAATAATATTTGAATCTTCTCTGAATTCTTTTATGTATGATTGGTTATCTTTGCAAGTCTCTTCGAATTATCCGTTTGGTTTGGCCAACTAGATTGGTAGTTCTTGCCATGGGAGAAGTGCTTAGCTTTGGGTTCGATCTTGCGGTGTCCTTTCTCGGTGACAGAAGGGGCAGCAAGGCACGTATTGTATCGTTGCCATCGAGGATAACAAGATGGGGTTTATTTCATATTGCATGAATTTATCTCTCTACATCATGTCATCTTGCTTAAGGCATTACTCTGTTTTTAACTTAATACTCTAGATGCATGCTGGATAGTGGACGATGAGTGGAGTAATAGTAGTAGATGCGGAATTGTTTCGGTCTACTTGTCATGGACGTGATGCCTATATACATGATCATGCCTAGATATTCTCATAACTATGCTCAATTCTGTCAATTGCTCAACAGTAATTTGTTCACCCACCGTATAATACTTATGCTCTTGAGAGAAGCCACTAGTGAAACCTATGGCCCCCGGGTCTATTCTTATCATATCAATCTCCATCACTTTAATCTTGCTTTGCTTTTTTACTTTGCCTTTACTTTTTACTTTGCATCTCTATATCAAAAATACCAAAAATATTATATCTATCAGATCTCACTCTCGTAAGTGACCGTGAAGGGATTGACAACCCCTAATCGTGTTGGTTGCGAGTAGCTATCGTTTTGTGCAGGTACGAGGGACTTGAGCGTGGTCTCCTACTGGATTGATACCTTGGTTCTCAAAAACTGAGGGAAATACTTACGCTACTCTGCTGCATCATCCCTTCCTCTTCGGGGAAATCCAATGCAAGCTCAAGATGTAGCAAGAAGGATTTCTGGCGCCGTTCCCGGGGAGGTTCACGCAAGTCAAGATTTGACTCCCGGCAATGAGCCATTTATGGCGCCGCTGCCGGGGAGTCTACGCAAAAAGTCAACATACCAAGTACCCATCACAATCCCTATCTCTCGCATTACATTATTTGCCATTTGCCTCTCGTTTTGCTCTCCCCCACTTCACCATTGCCGTTTTATTCGCCCTCTCTCTCTCTATCCTCCCTCTCTATTTGCCTCTTTTGCCCGTTTGCTCTTGTCTGCTCGTGTGCTAGTTTGCTTATTTGTCGCGATGGCTCAAGATAATACTAAATTATGTGACTTCACCAATACCAACAACAATGATTTTATAAGCATTCCAATTGCTCCTCTTACCGATGCTAAATCTTGTGAAATTAA